CCAAGACAGAGCCAGAGGCCGGAGGTTTGGGCCAGGTTGGGGGCCAGGTGGGGGGCGTTGGTCGTTTTGGGCGAGAAATCGTGGGGTCGGGGGTCCCAAGAACAGAGCCCAGAGGCCTGAGGGTGTCGGGGCCAGGTGGGGGCCAGGTGGGGGGCGTTGGTCGTTTTGGGCGAGAAACGTGGGGTCGGGGGCCCCAAGAACAGAGCCAGAGGTGGGGGTGTCGGGGCCCAGGTGGGGGCCAGGTGGGGGGCGTTGGTCGTTTTTGGGCGAGAAATCGTGGGGCCGGGGGTCTCAAGAACAGAGCCCAGAGGCCTGGGGGTGTCGGGGCCAGGTGGGGGCGAGGTGGGGGGCGTTGGGCGTTTTTGGGCGAGAAATCGTGGGGTCGGGGGCCCCAAGAACAGAGCCCAGAGGCCTGGGGGTGTCGGGGCCAGGTGGGGGCCAGGTGGGGGGCGTTGGTCGTTTTTGGGCGCGAAATCGCAGGGGTCGGGGGTCCCAAGAACAGAGCCCAGAGGCCTGGGGGTGTGGGGGCCAGGTGGAGGCCAGGCGGCGGGCGTTGGTTGATTTTGGGCGAGAAATCGTGGGGTCGGGGGTCCCAAGAACAGAGCCCAGAGGCCTCAGGGTGTCGGGGCCAGGTGGGGGCCAGGTGGGGGGCGTTGGTCGTTTTTGGGTGAGAAATCGTGGGGTCGGGGGTCTCAAGAACAGAGCCCAGAGGCGTGGGGGTGTCGTGGCCAGGTGGGGGCCAGGTGAGGGGCGTTGGTCGTTTTTGTGCGAGAAATCGTAGGGGTCGGCAAGAACAGAACCCAGAGGCCTGAGGGTGTCGGGGCCAGGTGGGTGCCAGGTGGGGGGCGTTGGTCGTTTTTGGGTGAGAAATCGTGGGGTCGGGGGTCCGAAGAACAGAGCCCAGAGGCCTGGGGGTGTCGGGGCCAGGTGGGGGCTAGGTGGGGGGCGTTGGTCGTTTTTGGGCGAGAAATCGTGGGGTTCGGGAGGTCCTTGAACTGAGCCAGAGGCATGGGGATCGGCGTGGTGGGGGTGGTGGCCAGCGTGAAGCCCATTGTGTGGGGGGTCTGGGTTGTTTTTGGCGAGAAATCGTAGGGTCGGGAGGTCTCAGTCGTTGGGGGCGGTGGTGGCCAGGGGGGGGCCAGGTGAGGGGTCTGGGAGGTTGTTATTGGGCGAGTAATCTAGGGTGGGGGTCCAAGCACCACAGCCATGAGGCCATGGGGCCATGGGGATGTCGGGGGGTGGTGGCCTGGTGAGGGCCAGGTGGGGGGGTATGGGTTGTTTTTAGGCAACAAATCGTCGGGTCGGGAGTCCCAAGAACAGAGCCCAGAGGCCTGGGGATGTCGTGGGGGGGGTGGTGGCCAGGTGGGGGCCAGGTGGGGGGTATGGGTTGTTATTGGGCGAGAAATCGTAGGGTCGGGGGCCCCAAGAAGAGAGCCCAGAGGCCTGGGGATGTCCTGGGGTGGTGGTGGCCAGGTGGGCGCCAGGTGGGGGGTATGGGTTGTTTTTGGGCGAAAAATCGCAGGGTCGGGGGTCTCAAGAACAGAGCCCAGAGGCCTGGGGACGTCGTGGGGGGGGTGGTGGCCAGGTGGGGGCCAGGTGGGGGGTATGGGTCGTTTTTGAGCGAGAAATCGTAGGGTCGGGGGTCCCAAGAACAGAGCCCAGAGGCCTGGGGATGTCGTGGGGGGGTGGTGGCCAGGTGGGGGCCAGGTGGGGGGTATGGGTTGTTGTTGGGCGAGAAATCGTAGGGTCGGGGGTGTATGAAAACGCAGAAGGATATCGCACACGCCTCTGGGGTCGGCGGATTATGTTTGATCCCCCCTCCGGTGACCGTTGTGTTTTTTAATGGAAGTGTTTCCCCCGGGGCCCGCACCCTGTTTTTTTAACCAGGGAAAGTCACTAGGCTCAAACTGCGTTGTTGGCACCCGGATGACAACAACGGCTCCCGCCTGATACTTTCTATGTATGACCAAATCGTGCTCTCGCGCGGGATTTCCTCACATTGCATTCAGGAATCGCGCTCTCGCGTAAGATTATCTTGCAATGTATTCAGACGCCGCGCCCTCGACATTCAGGAGTCACGCTCTCTTTGTGGATTTCTGCGCGATTGATTTGGGAATCGAGCTGTCGCTTGAGACTTCCTCGCGATTCATGCAAAACTCACGCCTCAGCAACCCGCCTGCTCGACCTGGCCGCCTGGGCCCTCCTTCCCGTCCCGCCTTGTAGGGTCTACCCGCCCGATCTGCCCGTCTGGTTCTGCCACGTGTTTTCTGCTCCTAGCCCGTGTTCAATCCTCCTGCCTCCCCCCTGTCCTTCCTTCCATCCGTCCTCTGTTCCCCTACCTCAGGGCCTGCGCGAAATACACGTTGCAGGTAAGAAGGATATACCCCCAAGGAGTGACGGTCGAGGACGAGTGGGCGGGTGTCGAGGGTTGGGATATACGTGTTCAATGGCACGCGAGCAGATAAGAGTGAACAGTTTCAAAATGAATTCACATATCTACAGAGTCAATATTGTTGACCCCCCCTCCGGTGCATTTGTTTTTTTCAATAAGGTGCTCCTCTCGGGGTTCGCACCTTGTTTTTGCAGGGCAAGTTGTCCGAAAGTTGTGTTGTCGCCCCCTGTACAACAACAACGGTTCCCGCCTGAGATTTCCTCACAATGTATTTCAATGTTGCGCTTTCGCGCGGGAAGCCTAGATAATGTATGCAGAAAGTGCACTCTCCCGCTGCAGTTCCTTACAATTCATTGTGGCGCCGTGCTCTGTCTTTGGGTTCCTTTACACTTTACTTGGGAATCGCGCTATCGCTCGTATCTTCTTAGCGATTCATGTTGGATTGACGCTTCAGCAACCCGCCCGCTCGATCCGGCCGTCTGGGCCCGCCCGCCCGACTTGCCCGTTCGGGTCCACCCGCCCGACCCGCCCGTCTGGTTATGTCGCTTATGCTCCTGCTCCTGACCCTCCTGCTGCAAATTTCTCTCGTGTTCCATCCTTCTCCCTCCCCCTTGTCCCTTCTCTCCTCCATTCCCTCCCCTGTTTGAGCGGCTGCGCCAATTACGCACGGCAGGTAGGCAAGATATACACTGAAAAGGAACACGATTGAAGACGAAGAGGGCGGGTATCGAGGGTCTGGGATACACGTGGTGAATTGCACGCGAGCAGATAAGAGCGAACGGTCTTAGGATTATGTTTGTTGTTGTTGTTGCTGTTGTCGTCGTCCCACTCGCGACCCGGCCCGCGACCCGCCCGTGACCCACCCGCGACCCACCCGCGACCTACACGCGACCCACCCGCAACCCTCCCGTGACCTACCCAAAGCCCACCGAAGACCCACCCAAGACCCACCCAAGACCCACCCGCGACACACCCGCGACATACCCCCGACCTACCCTGCGACCCAACCGCAACCCGCCCGCGACCCACTTTCGACCCACCCCGCGCCCGCCCTCTCACTCTTATCCGCAATTGCGGGGTGTTGCGTATTAACTATGCCCTGCGCACTTGATTCACAGTTTCCTGCGAGGCCAATAGAAGCGGGGCAACCTTTGAAAAGCCCAGCGCCTCAGGAAATCAGATCGACAACCTCGATGGTGATGCGGGGGAGGGGGATGATATGTATAGTCCAATATGATGTAGAAGGACAAGGGCCCTCCCCCCTTCCAGACTTTCAGATTGGCCGAACCGAGGCACACCGCTAAGGTCACCCGCCTGGCTGATGAGGATTTGGTTTATATGGGGGGTGAGGAGCTCGGAACTCGGAACTCGGAGGTCCGCGGAAAGATGCCAGAGGGCATCGTTACCGGGGGTGTGCACAACGCTGACGACGCAGTGCAGACCCAGGGGCGAGGACCAGGGAGGGGAGGAACATGTATCGCAGGAGGCGGAGGAATGAGGGAGGAGGCGGAGGGGGGAGGCAGAGGGATGAAAGGGGGAGGAGGAAGACGGGGACAAGATTGAGGAGGATATAAGAGGGGTGAGGAACATGTGCGAAGGGGACGGGCAGGTTGATTGAGGATGAGCATGGGGCGGCGGCCAATCGATCGGCCACGCTGTTCTCCCCTCTTCTCTCCCTTGACCTGCCTCCCCTCTCCTCCTCCTCTTCCTCCTCCTCCTCCTCCTCCCGCGCCCCCTCTCAGCATCCCTCCCCCCTTTATCCTCGCCATCCCACTCTGGTCCTCCCGTCCCCCCTGTCTGCCCGCCCTTTCTCCTCCCTCTTCCCCATCACCTCTCCACCCCCCTTGGCAATCTCTTTGGAAGCTTGACTGGCAGCTGTCCACAGCAAAAGGCCATTCCGACGTCGTGACTACTTCGCGACGTGGGGACCCGCTTATCATCTTGAGTAGTTTTTTTGACCGTCCAACCGACTAGCAAATTCCCCCGAAGCCCCCCGAATGCCCAAAACTTTCCATAGTGATTCTGTCGCGGCGCGAGGGGGCTTTCGGTTCATAATTCGGGCCTCTGGCTGCCTTTCGGGACGATCCGGGCACCCCCAGACCGCTTTCGGCAAGGCGCAGTTCCTGGAACGCATCCCGAGGCAGGAACCTCCAGGAGATCCCTCGAGCCTCCCCCCCGTCGGAACCTCCCGGCCCTCCCACCGCCACCCTCGGCCGGGGCTAGGACGAGGATACATCAGTTCCAGAGCGTGCCAGAACGCTTTCAGAGTGTTCTGGGACGCTCTGAGAAGGCCGCGGCGCCAGAGACATCATCCAAAGCCGCCGGATATCATAGAGTCTCGATCTATCCTCGTCCGATTTTACCCTTGTAATGGCTTCGTCTTACACCTCTCGCGCGCCGGGCGGGTCTACATCCCTATCCAGGGGGGGGAATCGAGCAGTGGGGCCCAGGCCACGCCCATAGGGATAGGAGTCGGTTCAAAGATGCGCACAGAGCCCGTCCGAACCTCGATCCTCGAACCCCCTTGTCTGAACTTCCTGGCCCTCCCGCCGCCCCCGCCTCGCGCGCCCGACGGGCCCTGCCCCCGCAAAGAGCCGCACTGGCGGCGAGGGGGCGCAGCCGGCGCCGACGCCGTGCCGCCGCCAGCCGCCGCGGCGGCGTCGCGCCCGGGGCGCTCGCCAACGCCGCCGGGGCAGAGGCGCCGAGCCTTGAGCCTCCTCCTCCTCCTCCTCCTCCTCCTCTTCCTCCTCCTCCTCCCCTCCGTCCTCCTCCTCCTCCTCCTCCGCCTCTTCCTCTTACTCCTCCTCCTCCTCCTCCTCCTCCTCCTCCTCCTCCTCCTCCTCCTCCTCCTCCTCCCCCTCCAGCCGTGTCGGCCCAGGCGATCTGGGTTTGCCCGAGAGTACTTCGACGCGGCTCGCTCGGGCGGGCCACGGATGGCGGGAAAGCATCCTTCTTGGCCGTGTGGGAATTATGCGAGGGTGTATGGCACTGCGTTCGCCAACTACGCCTTCCGCAACCATTGCCTGCGCTGCGGCAAGCAGGCGCCAAAAGGAGTGCTTGATAAGCAGAACAAGCAGTTTGGGAATGGTGGTATGCAAAAGGCTCCGTCCTCCTCGTCCTCCTCTTCGTCCTCCTCTTCGTCCTCCTCTTCGTCCTCCTCTTCGTCCTTCTCCTCCTCTTCGTCCTCCTCCTCCTCGTCCTCCTTCTCCCTCTTCTCCTGCCCCTTTTCCCTCCCCCCTTCTTCCTCCTCCTCCTCCTCCTCCTCCTCCTCCTCCTACTGCTTCTCTTCGTCCTCCTCTTCCCACTGTCCTCCTCCCTCTCCTCCTCTCCCCCCCCTCTCTCCTCCCCCTCCTCCTCCTCCTCCTCTCTCCCCCTCCTCTCCTCCTCCTCCTCCTCCCCCTCCTCTCCTACCCCTCCTCGTCCTCCTCCTCCGTCTCTTACCCCTTTCCTCTCCCCCCCTTCCTCCTAGCTCCTCATCCTCCTCCTCGTCTGTTCCCTCCTCCTCCACCCTCCTCCTCCTCCTCCTCCTCTTTACCCCCCCCTACTCTTCTCCTCTTCTCCTCCTCTCCTTCCCCTCCTCTGGCTCCTCTCCTCCTCCTCCTCCTCCTCCCCTCCTCACCCTCTTCGTCCTTCTCATCCTTCTTCTCCTCCCCCTTTTCTCCTCCCCCTCTTCCTCCTCCTCCTCCCTCTTCCTCCTTCTCCTCCTTCCGTAGCCATTTTTGCTCAAACCACCTGGACCAAAAGGAGCAGGCGATTTTTGCTCAAACCACCTGGACCACCATTTTTGATCAAACCACCCCGCGGCGGCGGCGGCGCTCCTCTCCTTCCTCGTCCTCCTCCTCCTCCTCGTCCTCCTCCCCTCCTGGTCTTTCTGCTCCTCCTCCTCCTCCTCCTCCTCCTCCCCTTCCCCCCCTCCTCCTCAGCCTCCTCCTCCTGCACGGCGCTGGCACGGAAGGAGGAGGAGGAGGGGGAGGAGGAGGTGGAGCCCGCGTAGCATAGCAGAATATAGCATAGCATAGTATTGGACAGCATAACATAGCAGATAACTACATGTGCAACCCTCGTAGCATTAAATCGCGTTGCGTAGCATAGCACCGTGCAGCATTGCATAGCGTAGCATACCATAGCTTAGCATATCACTTCTGCATTGCGTTGCATCGTATCGCATCGCATATAATGGCGCCACGATTGGACACCTACCTCTCCAAGACCCACCCGATGCCCTCGTAAGATTTCTAAGCGAAAGCGATGAGGTCGTTGCAGGATGGCGCTGCTAGTGTGCTCACCGAAGGAGCGCCGAGCCACTTTTTAAGTGGTTTTGGCATACGTTGAGCTTTTAACATAATGAAACCCTAAGCGTGGTTTTGATCTGGTTAGTGGATTTTAACATAATCGTCCTCCTCTGATACCGACCAGAACAGAATTCCACATCATGGTCAGCTACCGACGACGGAAGATCAACGACATCTACGCAAGCAGCACATGCGACAGCAAGCGCATATTCTGGAGCACCATCCGCATGGCGCATTGCAGACTACGCAACGCCTTGGACAGCAAAACCATTTGACTTACTTCGGCGATGTGGACCCCCCCGGCGATGCCAGCATTGGGCGATGGAGGCATGGCGGCTGCATCGGCGTCCATGCCGCAGTAAACGCCCATATTCTAGACGGATGGGAGCCAACAGTGTGACGACGAGGTGTATGCTTGTGAAGATTTCTTCGGTCATAGTGGTACAGAATCAGAAGATGACTTCCAATATGATCCCGAGTGCGCCGACGAGGCGATCGAGACAGACGCATCGATTTTGCTACCCCCTGGGGTTTCAGCGAATCGCACAAACATCACGATTGTTCTGAATGACGCGTACCTCAACATCAAGAAGCGCTGCAGGGCCTACACGAAGAGGACGACGAAGTTCCGCATATCCAACAAACGGTATGATGGAAGGCTATCTAAGTTTGGCATGGGACAGCGCGGTGGCTTCGCGAGGCAGTTTGGCAAGCCGGGACACTTCCAGTTGGAGACGGCAGGTCCGGCGTGTTTCACGGGCGGAAAAGGCGACTCATAAGGTTTCCAGCATAGCAACAAGAACAAAAAGGACCCCGTCACCAGCGAGATAATGAAGTGCCATGAGTGTGGATGTGACGATCATTGTCGACGCAATCGTCCGAAGCTTCATGATCGCACTCATCAGGAAGCAGATGCGGCAGCGACTTCTGCAGAACGCGATCATGCGTTGGCCCTGGACGTATGCATACGATGCGATCTCAAGTATTTCATGCAGGGCGCGACCATCAAAATGCAGAGCCGCATGCAGAGCCTGTTGCTCACACACCGAATGTGGAATGGGCTCATATGTTTTCAGAAGCCACGGTGATCTCGGTGGACAATGGCACGTATCAAGAACGACAGCCGCAGGACCTGACGACGAGGAACTACAGCCCACATCAGCCCCAGGCGGTATCGGTAACATGACATCGTCACAGCTTTATTGTGCAGCAGTTACGTATGGAATCAAGAATCAAGCGATAGTGGGCAATAATCAGCACCTTTCGTTCCTTGGTGGGACCTTGACCTGGAGACGGATAGCGGCATTGCTAAAAACGCGGCAAACCTGAACTCTGAGCAGATCATTTTCTTTCTGAAGACTAAAGGGTCTCCTTGAGGGCGCTGGCGCGCATGACAACCTGTGTGGCGATCTCTTCATCAAGCATATTCTTTGCGTCCTGAGTGAGCAAGGCTCGTTGGTTGGACCATTGGAAAATGGAAGAAGCTCTCTATGTACATCAATGTTTCTGGACTTGGTAAGCAGAATCAGCTTGTCGAGCGGGAAGCCGCAGTTCTTTCGAAGGTTATCTCGAACGATGCGAAGAGCAGTGCGACCTACGCGGCGCCAAATGCTGGCACAGAGGAAGAACCGCCGACTGTGCCAGCATTGCGGGGAATCAAGTCTATGCGGCATCAGCAGGCAGTCATCGATCCGGGCAATAACGACATGCACCTGTGCGGACCTGGACGCGTGCGCGTGAACGTGCCCCACGGGGCCTCCACCCTAAAGATCGAGACCAGCATGGGCGACGCCCGCTGGCATCCTGCGCGGACTTCGAGAAGCACGCGAAGACGAAATCCGGGGCAGCACCGCGGCGCACGACGGAGAGCATGAGCGAGCACGCCCCCGATGCGAAGCACGGCTTCCAGATTATTTCGTCGCCGCTCAGGGCGGTGCTGCGGGCAGCGGCTCACGTCGGGGAGTCGGCGACTCGGCGGCGCGCCGCGCCGAGGCTCCACAGCTGGACGTTTTTCCCATTGGGCGGGGTGGCGGCCTGGGGCAATCCGCCTACGCAGCGACGCGCGGCGACGCCCCGACCTTCTCTCTACTTCGACCTCCTTCCTTGCACGACAGTGCCCTGCCCGCAATTTGGGTCATGGGTGATATTGGCGGCCAGAGGTGTCATGCGCGCAGTCATCGATTCATGGTCCAGCCTTGCAGCCGCAGTCCACGGTGTGCGACGGCGAGCAGCACTAGTCATTAGCAAGCTACGTTTCATCTACATCGGCCAGTCTTGTCGTGGGCACGCCAACCTGGGCCGCCTACAACAGGACAGGTTACCAGAACGCACCGACGGCGACTTCAAGTCGCCTGCCAGTTCAGCGAGCAGCATACATCTCAACGACGAGCGGTACTTCTTGAGGCGAACGAACGCGCGCAGGCAGCATGGGCGCAGCACCACTTCAGCGACGCCATTTGGAAGCAGCACCAGAGTGGAGGCTTGAAGACTACCGCGACACGGCTACAGGATGGCAGCCACACTTCGACCATCCGCCCGGAGGCCAACTTTGACTCGAGAGCTCCGGGCATCGTCGACAGCGCAGATGCACCGGCAGCAGTCGCGAGCCCCCTTGACCTTTTGTTCAAGACCGAGCACAAGCCATCACGAGAGCAAGGCGCTACCCTACCTGCGGCTGCGTCGGCGCCGGCGCACCCCCCATCCGACGGCGACGGGCAATGGCAGGCAGTGGCAAGAATGTTTCCTTCGACGTCGTCGATGAAGATTTCGCGGCGCACCTTGCCGACGCAGCAGCCCGAGCCAAAGAGCGCGAACGACGTCGGAAACCTCGAGCCATTGATCCCTCGCATGCTATGCCAAGCACCAAGAAGAAGTTCAAGGTTGAGCAGCACTTCGACGACTGCGGGCTCGACGTTTCTAGCCCCAAGTAGGCCGCGTGGGCACTCGACCAAGCGAGCGCCGATATCCACTGCGAAAACGATCAGATTATGGAAGACGAGCCAGAGCATACCACCTGTTCATTGTTTGTTTCCTCACTGCGTGGCTTGAGCGGTTCAGCTACCAACGACAAGACCTACGCAAACGTGCCCGATAAGTTCAAGTACGATACGGTCAGCAGTTTCATGGCAGACTAGTCGTCCCATCACAACGCAGCACCGATGCCGGCGATCACTAGATTGACGTTATGGAGATTTGTGGAGGCAACGCGAGGACATCATAGATTTTGATACATCGCTTCCAAGAGACCAAGGCAGGCCTCAAATTCGACATCATCATCGGCATTGACTTGTTGGGCCGAGCACAGGAAGCAGCACTGCGGCAGCGTCTTGGAGCACACAAAATCATGAACACCATCCTGAGTGGGCCCTGCACTGGATTGGCTGGTTGGCAGACGCCAAACAAGTGC